CATAATCTTTCGGGATAACATTTATGAGACCATAATGTATCATTTGAAAAAAAAAAAAAAAATTCCGAAAATTCTAGAGTGGCCTAACCCCTTAAGTTTCTTAGCGATGTTATGGCTGATTATGTGACGGTCCTGGTAAATATTTTCCATAATTTCATTGGCTTTTTCAAGGATAGGTCGACCAGAGCGAGGTGCATCCTCCGGAACGGAAGCGAGCGAACCATTCTTGTGCTGCTTGAATTGATTCAGCATTGTCTCCGTGAACTTCATACATTTTATTGGTCGCTTGCGTGGCATTATTCMATTTTTTATATACAAATTTCAAAATATAGCAAATCTCTTCATTATTTTCACTCATTTTTGAACATCTGTAACTTTTTTTCAACTTGACCGAATTTAATTTTTTTAGGTTAAATGAAAATATCACCTTTCCAACATTATATGGTGTGACACAATGTGATTGGTAGCACTGGAGTTATACGACTGCAACGGCATCTATTAACAAAATACGAAAGGGCTTTTTCGACTAACCAATATTTTCCGGTCTTGTATGTAGTGACAACTAAACCCAAACTTCGCAGCGATTAGAAGTCGACGGCCAGTGGACTTCCCAATGTGAATTTTCATGAATATACTATGAATATTCGGAGAAAAAGCTGAAGAGTAGAATCTCTGAACGTGCCGCCCAGATCGTATCGGCAGATATAAATTTATGTTTGTATGTACACATGTGGGATTTGCGCTTCTAACACAAATTCATTCGTAGTCTCGTATTTGCATTCACATTCATTCATCAATTGTACTCCATATATCATTCGATATGTTCAATAACAAACAGTAATTAAAAATGCAACAACAACAAAAGCAATAATCAAGTCACAGCTTTCGATTTTGCTGTAAGTGGAGAGCAGGAATTCTACTTTGTAAGACAGTAGCAGCAACAAGTGTTCGTACATACATATGTATGGTTGTATAGACGAGCATATGTATATATGTATATGTATGAAAATACATACAAACATATCTACATGTGTGTATGTACCGTTGTAGTCGTGCGCGAGTAGCTCGTGTACGCCCTGAAGATATGTGCATAAATTTCATTTGATTCCAATTCTACATGGAACTCGGGGTAGCGACGTAAATAGTGCTGAAAATAAAAATGACTTCATACTTCCTCAAGTCAGAGCGTCACCGGCCCAGTGACCAGCGCCGGTGGCAGAAACAGCAGCCGTCGCCGCAGTCGTAACGGTCAGTTAATCAACCGGCCATGCAAACGACCAGTTAGTCGATGGATAGGAAAGCGTTCACCGCTGCTGTTGATGCGGGTGGAGTCTCGGTGCGAGGGTGCCAATTGGCAGGGTGGCACGAGTTGTGGGTATTTACTTAGGCATTCCTACTTGTGGCAAAACAAATGTTATGCAAATTGTAAATCATTAATGTTTCCGATAAATAAATCTAATAACAATTTTACTTAGCCTTTGTTTTATTTTCAAAGTTTATGTAAACCTAATAAAACACTTAAGCAAGCGTTAAGTTCATCGTGAAAATTCACATTGTACGCTCAATATATTAAGCGGCTGCAGTTGGTGGGGGTGGTCTTACCTTTTCTTGAGGATACTTTAAATATTCCAATCAGATTGCTGAAAGAGGTGATCAATTAAAAATGTCAATCTGTTAGAAACGAAGCGATAACTAAGGCTTTATGAACGATTTATTAGATTTTAATATTCCCTATGCACGATTACATCGCTCCACTTAGTAAGCAATTTTAGATGCAATGCTACAAACGGCAAAAGGCATCTCACTTGAATAACTTAGAACGCCGATCTGTTGTGATACCTAAAACTGTTATACATATACTGATCATAACTGATCATGACCCTCAAAAATCGAAAAAGCACTTTGAGCCTTATATCAGCTTAGGCTATCTCTGCTCGTTTGCCGAAAGTATGACTATCGACTATCTTACAAATGGCGGAGGAAGTGMCTGAATGTTTCCATCTCATCTTCCYGTATTTAAGAAATATTTGTTATTTTAGAAATATTTAACGATCTCCTAGTGGTARCTTGATCTTCTTTATGTTAAASTCTAAAGGATGAAATTAGGTTATTAAATACCATTAATGAGGTTTTATACAATCATTCTTTACATACTTGTATATTTCAAACATTCAATAAATAGCCTTCTGTATCATTGAGAGAGACCCATTGGACACGCTGGCCGATCATTTGATGRACAGTTCTTGGCTGAAGTAGACACAATAAATTGCCTTGATATGTGATGAAATGCATAACAAATACATATATCATTTATACGAGCGTGTTTTTAGCTGCGAGTGGAGCTGGTATGATCAATGGCTATGCAAAATCGAACAAATTGAACAAATCTCACACATCACGCGAAATCGTGTTCATTTTTAATTTGCTAACTTATTAATTTTATGCTTTGCTAACATTTGTTGTTATAATCTGCCATTTCTTGTTTAAGGGGTGGTGGCAGGGTGTGGTTGTGGGAGAAATGGATTTCTCAAATAGATCGTGATTTGAAAATGACATTTTATTCGTATATGGTCGACTTCTCGTCGGGCGGATACTCGCATACKGGGGCACCTGTAAAATTTCTATTTTGGGATATACCGTAATCGAGAAAATATTTCAAATTGCGAAACGGGCGCTGTTTCGTTGTAAGTAAAGTGGTCAATTGAAGGGGTTTTTTTTTTTCAAAGAATTGCTTGTTAGCGTTTGATTTCTTTTGACTGTAGAGCTATAAGGAAATAAAATAAAGTATCCTTCGCCAAGAACGGCTGCTTATCCATCGATTCTATCAGCATMTTCGCCACCAACACTGCGATCGGCAACAGCATTCACGGCGGCATACAAATATTATATATGTATGACACAATAGCGTCAGCATCACTCACACCAGCAGCATCTTCAAAGACTCATGCAATTTGCTTCAATTTTCGCGTCTTCTTGCATTCGCGCCGGTAACTCGGTCCTTTGTGGCAAATTAGTCAATTGACAACATGCAACAGCGTTACGCCACTGCAAGTGGCATTAACTTCATGTCTGTTGGACAGCGACAACGGGTCGGGTACGTGCCACAATTTGCGCATAGTCGGCAATCAGTTGGTGGGTACAACACCCGTATCCATGCACATAATTGAAGCACCAACAAGCGATGTGTTGCAAAGCCGCACATAAGTCAAAAAGCGACCATAARACCAGAAAAAGATAACAGTGGGCGAGGTGCACGCTGCTGTTGGACATTTGTTGCTGGTGTTGCATTGTTGCCACCCGATTAACGCGCACATCGGGTGTGAGTAAGTAAGTACGTGTGTGCGTGAGTTTGTAGATATGGTTATGCTGTTTTTGTAGTTTGCATATTATACTATGCTCTTATTATTATTGCTGTTGCTATTCGCCAGTACGTCGCGACTGTTGCTCTCTGTTGCTCCCCGACTTCTTTCAGCTGCTGTTGCTGTGATCAATTTGTGTTTACATGCAAATTAATTGGTGGTGCAATTAAAAACTGTCGTCGTGGTTTTCGTTGCCATTGGATTTTGATGGCAAACAACGAGCGGATTGAATCCTGTTGAACGGACCGACATACATGCATTTATGCGCACATTCACAGACATGTATGCATGAATTTATGATTGTAAAAGTGGCAATAATGATGTTAGCTATTACAGTGCGTAACTCGATAATGATGTTGTCTAACATAAACAAGGCTTGCGTGATTCTTATGAATATTTTACTACACATACAAATGTAATGATATCAAAATATGTATGTAAATACGCTTATTAGTGCATTATACTCGTTTAACTAAATTGAATTTATTTCATCAATTTCATAGTAAAGTAATTCTCAAGTAATTCATATAATCATTATTTCACATAACCTAGCTTAAAGTCATTAAATACATACGACCCTACTGTCAATWTTGCTTTCGTAAAATATCTTTATAATGAATAAAAATTAATAAATATCAAGCAGTGGTATCGATCAAAGGTAGTTACTATATGTATAAGTATTCCTATTAATTGAAAAAACTTCAAGAGAAGATTCTTTTCCCATACAAATTTGCATTAATTTTCATAAACTATAATTTTTACTGAGCATAAAAATAAAAAAATGTGTATTAATACAATTACATCTCATATTCGTATAAAAGTGTAATTAAAAATTCGGTTTAGAACTCCACGTAAGAATTTTCCCACCTACTGAGGAAAATGTAATTATATTTATAGCCGAGTTCGCACTTGCAGTCTTATGATAAAATACTTCATTAGAAAGAATTATAATCAAACACAAAAATTAAATCAAAATAAAAATGAAATCAACCACAGTGTATGAAATGAACATATTAGCAACATGTTGCTGAAGTAAAGAATGTTGACAAACATTTTTATGACGTTTGTTTGAACTGCGAGGTTGGCTGCGGCAGCGGCAGTGGCGTTAACGTCGGGTGTGCGCGAACGCGTTTTGGCCATTACAAAAAAGAGTGTAGAGAGAGTAATGTAACGTAAGACTGACAGTATTTTGCAGTTGAGTTCCTGCAAACCGTATTTATCGTTTGGAAGATGCAGTTCGGAATAATTCGATCACATTAATGCAATTTTTTATTTTATCTCCAATCCATTCTTTAATTTATTTTTAAGTGGAAACTAAAGCTGAAAATAAGTAAAATATGTATATTTGTGAAAGCGCCTACCATAACCTCAATATAGACTTAATATTTAAAAGAATTGAAGCGATTTTTCAGAAATTTTCACAKTCAGGCATATCACCAAGAACCAAAAACATTTCTCCTTCTTTCGCGAATGCCCATACTAATGTTGAGAATTATAACTTTCCCGTTGGCAACACTGCAATCATCATTTATTATTGGATCGTTTCTGGTTTCTCATTCGCCACATTTGCTTGTAGATTTGTTGGTTTGCGCGATGACTAAAGCGAACGCGAATGTAAATGGGAGCGTGAGCATAGCCAGCACTTCGGTTATCTACGGTGCTCGTGGCTGTTGGCTTCAGCAACACGATCATATTGTTGTTGACAACCAAGCTGCAACGGACGTTAGTCGCTGACGACGACGTATATTTTGCCGACGTCGACGCCACTCTCTGGCATAGGAAGTGGTTGCATTCGGCAGTGTCCACTACAAACACAACAACACCGGCTAACGACATGAATACAGACGTATTCAAACCCAAGAATTGATTGCAATAACAGCCAAATTAGCTCTTTTGGTTAAGTCGTCGGCAGCTACAGCTCAGCGCTTTAAGATAAATGTACAATAGTGAGCAGCGCACTGCGCAGAGCATAGCCGAACAGAGCGGCGCGAAAGAGCAGAAATAGCTCAAYATCGTGTATCTCACGGTGTCTGTGTTTGTGTATGCCATACCCATTCGTAGTATCTTAATATCTTGCTTGCTTTTGAGCAGAGTGGGTACACACCGAACGATCGACCGCTTTGAGCGACCAAACAGCCAGCCGCCAGACAACTAAGTCAAGCAGCAGCGACGGTAATAGCAACTGTAAAGACTAAGTGAATGAAAAAAGTTTTTTCTTTCCATTAGTGCGCGCTAGCTGAGGGGTTTATTTATTCAGAGACAGATCCCGTGTGTGGACATTATTTTCCGAAACGTTCGCTAAGGAGCACACGACGAACATAACGCGACTCAGTATCAAATGAAACAAATCGAATCGATGATTACGGTCCGCATATTAAAAGTTAATAAAATCGAAAAGTTCCGCGTTGCATTATTTTAATTGAAAGACATTTGACTTGTCGCAGATTTTTTTGAAATGTTTCGCGAGCTATGCGAATTATTTGCATGCACAACAGTAAATGTGAAGTGTAAATTGTTATCACACCGCCGCGTAGCAGTTGTTWGTTGTTAAGTAATAATCGCGTGATTCCAAAAGGGCCTTGAGCTCCATAGGCTTTGGGAGCAAACTTGTGGGTTAAATACCAAAATAATAAATAGGTATTGCTAGGCTAGACTAGAGCACAAATATATGSCGCCGGAACAACAGTAGTATCAATAAAAATCGTCATTTTACACAACCAATCGCTTGCCAGCTAAAAACTGTGCCATCAGGGTGTCACCTATTCAATATATCAATGCCCACARGCAAACGTGTTTTGGAGTAAACTGTTACACCAACGCTTTACCATCAAYAAACGTTTATTTTATTTAGGTTTTACTGTAGCTGAAGTGAATATATCCGATCGAGCAAAACCTCAAGCAGTGACGACAGTATGCATTGTGTTTAATTAAAGTGAAAATTTAAAAATAAAGTGTGTAAATCAAAAAATACGAATTTTCTTTCATTACAAACCGCCGAAATAGCGACGGCTAGACGGCAAATATCACAAGAAGCAGCTACAATAGAGGCGAAAAATACGCGCAAGATAAACGCTTTATTAAAAATATTAAAATTCAAAAATAGAATTTTCACGCAAACTGCACTATTCAACCACATCGAACACGGCGAGCACCAGATTTGTTTGTAGGTCTATAAACGAGAAGGCTAACAAAGCGACGGCGCCTAAATACACGGTAATCCAAATTGTAGAAATTCATTGATAAACGAATGACGGAAGAAGATCATAAGCGCCAAGCTAAGGACCGACTGCACAGCCTAAAGAGTACCATCTAAATAAGATCGAAAGCATAAAGAACAAAAAAAAAAAAAAAAAATTAGAATAAAACCGAAGAAGATAACGTAGAAAATTAATAATTTTTGTACTCGGCAAAGGTGTTATCTAATCTAAGCATTTGCGCGCTTCGCACTACTTACCCACCTACTTACCAAACGGCGCAACAAACAACATCAACAACAAACAATCGCAACCTGCTTGCTATCCGTGCTCGATAYGCAGCGAAGTGTATTATAGAGTCACAGAGTCACCCAGCCAACTACTAAACACAGTTCACTCGCCGCCGGCGGTCATTCTGTCAGTCAGTGTCAGAACGCGAGCGCGTTTGTTTGTCAACAGAACAAGTCAGTTGGTTTAGTTTCTCTGGCTGTTTCTTAAATTTCTCACAACCAAGTATAACGCAAACGCTAAGAAGCGTGTAGGCTTGCTCATTCTGAGTGCGTCTAATAGCGTGTAATCAACGACAACATAGTGAAGACGTAAATTACCGCAACAATACTGTCCGTTCCATAGTTATAAAACAAGCGAAACAAGTGCAAACGTCGAAAATTCATGCAAGCTTACAATTACTAATATCTTTCTAATATTAAAATAATATTTGCGTATATTTAAGGGCRATTAATTTTCAAAATAAAAATAATTTAGTGAAGTGCGAAAGTGTTTCGAGCAGAAGTGCTAGTGAAAATATAAGAAGAATAATAAGTGCAATCTCTCCAACAGCGAAGTAATATAGGCTGCTGAAAATTAAGTGTGAAATAATAAATTCTTCTGCAAAACCAAGAGGACAAACAATAAAATCGTATTAAAGTACAAGAGGCTCAACGAACCACATGAATATGGCCATCAACAACAGTACAAAAGTGTCGCGAACGACAGCAATCAGCAAGACAAGTGCATCCAGTTCATGCCGATCCACGACRTGTGTCAAAAGCTGCAACACATCCGTCAAGGCAACAGATATGCAAAAATCTGGAAAGACAGCAAGTACAACGCTAATAACATCATCTCCAGCATTATTCACAATATCGGCAGCAACGGCGGATGGGAAATTAGCGCGACCAACGCCACCGTCAACATCGACAACTGCACCAACAACAACAGMAGGGCTCTCTACAACATCCCTCAAGCTTCTTTACAAATTCATTATATTTGCCATCTTGATCTGCACGGCGCCGTCGCTGGTTAGCGCCCGACGGCATGCGCCACTCTTGCTGGAAGAATCGGAGGGTACACGCCGAAATAATAGACCAGTTGGTAAGTGTAACACACCACTTTATTTATAGACGAGTACATAATTATATATTCTTAAGTTTATAAAGTTATAGGATATACAATAACTTTTTTTTAGCGAAAATATTATTATAATCAATCGGAAGAGGAGCACATATTTTAGAAGAAACTTAGCTTATCGAACAACATAAATCTTCAAGCCATGCGCTGTATTTTACCGAAATCCAGTTGGTTTTCCCCACAGCCAAGAATCGGAAAGTTTTGTCATTAAGTCAAAACGCCCACAAAACAATCGAGCCTTCAAAGTAAACGAAGGCATACTTTAGTACGACAAACAGAGACACACATCACACCGGTGCGTGTGTACCTGGTTGGCACAACCTTTCTTCAAACAGTTGCTGGAATTCCCGTGCTCGTCCTTATTCTATGTCCTTTGTTGTTGCTTTGCGCGTAATTGGGGTATTTCCCACATTTGATGCCACACAGATGCTAGCGCAAGCATTGATTGCACATATTTCGAGCTAAATACCTGCGCACAACACACTGTCACGCCCGGCCATATGCGCATGTACACAAACAAACCCACGTACGTAGACGGGAAGTCCTGAATTTGGACAATAGACGGTTTCAATGAAAAACGGTCGCAAAGTTGACCTGTGCCACTGCTAGGTCACATGAGCGCTCACCATGCGTATATTTGGGAATTCCCTAATGATTGTGCATACGCAGCGGGAAGCCGTACTAACAATGCATTACTGCTTACCGGAGTCGACCGCCATATCCATACGCATATGTTTGTTGTTGCCGAACTTGACAGACAGTTAGTCGTCGGCATGACAGGTTTTCTAATGCTTACCAAGAGCGGTGATTGCTTTTTGTTATTGTTATTGTTTCTGCTTTCTATGCAACGGCTGCGCACAGTTCCACGGCGATGCCGCACGTTCATTAAATGACTTATTAATTTTATTTCCGTAATGTCGATTGTGGCCAGGCTGTCTCCAAAGTTCCAACKGGAGTGGGCTTGACCAACACAAGTACCCGCGTGGATWGAAACYACCAAATGGGCGATTAAACGGCGCGCCGTGCGATGTGTGGTGTCTCACCACATTTTTATGTTCTTATGCCAATGCACCATTGTGTGTGGTTTGTGCGCGGGCGCTTTGGAGAGTCATTACTTTGCCCGATTTTATCGAATGTTTTTTTGGAGCGACGGTCAAACGTGTGTGGAGCAAGCACAATATTACCCGTTTGCAGTTCTCGTCTTCCTCATGATTTTCTTATTTCTATAACTACTGAATGGTGCCAATTTGTCTACCTACAGACAGTTTTTCACAGGTTTTYCTTTTCCTCACGTTTCGTTATTCTYCGTTTTTCTCAACAGAAGAATTCTGTTGTTACCACCTTCCACCAGTACGCATCCGATTGTATATTAGTAAATATTTATGAACTGGAGATTAGCTCTGAGYGTAAGAGGCTTTTCGGACAGACTGACATTWATTTATAAGAGCGAGTGGTCGGTTGTGTGTGTGTAGAAACGCTCGGCTATCTCCAACAAATCTACAGTTTCTGTGAAAATTCATGTTCCGAGTAGTTTTTAGATCATTGGATTGCATTCACATAGCTTCGCTATTTGCGCACATTTMAGATTGCAGCCGTTATTCAGCCACACACTCAGAGCGTTGCAGTTCAGACACATCATATAAGTGTAAACCTATATACATACATGTATATATATAYGATATTGTGCACAATTAGAACAGCTACCACTTAATATTTTGTTCTCATTCGGCTGGTGCCGAGGAAGTCAATGAAGTGCGCACCTTTTCGTGGTATACCCTGACCACCCACCCGCCGCTTCGATTCGAATTGCCATTAGCGGAAAGATGGGTGTTAAATGGAAATTTGTAATCTGCTCGCATTTCGATTATAAATTCATTTCGCAGCTATGATTTCCAAATGAGGCTGCACACATGGGATTCGTCATCGAATGGCGTCACTAACACGACTTCCAATGATTATAATGAATCAAATGAACAGTATCCGCTGTTTAACAATAAAATAAAAATACTCCAGTTAAAATTCGTTTTGCTTTCATGAATTTCACTGAGAGAAATCAGTTTTTAAAAGTCTCGTCTGTTTTCGCTATAGATGGAACAGCTATTCAACAAATATGCTATCCTCTGTTGTTGTATGCTCTCCTACCCTGAAGCTTGATAAATTCGACAGTATTTCATGTTTTCGTCTGTAGGCGAACAGGTTCCACAAACGCAAAGTGATTTCTTCAGGCGTTAACTTCCTTTGTGGGCTTATTCAAAATTTCGTTAACATACACACATTACATATGTACATATAGTATATRTATGTGTATGAATGGATCAATCAATGAAATTGCTCGCCCCAGCAATACACACGGGTATTATAAATAATACGTGAGTATGCGTGTATACCGCTCGACCGACTAACTGCTCGTCCCACTATACGTTCGCTTTAGTTTGGACAAACCAGATTTAATGAATGAAATGATATAAGACAATAAAACGAAAAACATATATATAACGTTTGTACATATGTATGTGTATATGGGACCGTAATAATATAACAAGCATTAAAGTGCCAAGCTATGGCTACGCACTTTTTGATTTCATTCAATATTTTGGCCGCATTTGCTCCATGTTTCGAACATTTGTTAAGTTGGTGTTGTTGTTATCGCTTTAGCTTTCGGCTATTGGTGTTAAATTAATGAATTGATTTTGGACTTTTAGTATATGTKTTTTTATTGCGACTTTGATTTGTTATTTGGTGGTGCGATCCGTGTCTTACCACGCACTTCGCTCTGCTCATTAATGCAGACCTACATACAGACATGCCATAAATGTGTGCGACGGCGTGTACGAGCATTTATTCATGCAGACGTGCTTTTGAGTGGTCGTGCAGACAGACAGACAGATCGACACCCAAACACACTGCGCCGGAAGGGCAGACAGATAGGCAACAAACCATTATTGGTACGTACGTACAAACTAACGAGAGATATACATACATATGTATGCATGCACATGACTACTTACTTAACTGGCCGATCGACCGGACGGATGTTTAGACAGGCGACAAGCAGCCGCCATTCAACAATCGTCGGTGGTCGTCCGGCAGGCGGYAATTGCAATTGAGGAGGTGTTAAAATGTGCTTAAGTGATTTGCAATATGTGTGGCAGCACCACCAATGGCACATATGTATATACATACATTATTCAACGCTCACATGATAATGCGATTTCCAATATTTCGTTGTCTTTTTGTGAATTGCAATTAAAATTTCGCAAGCAACGCCACTGGTGCAACTGTTCAAACCGTCGTCGTGGGTCTGTTTTACTCGTACTCACTCGTACTCAAACCTATGCTAAGACGTGAAGCACGCGTCATCATTAAGAGTTGTTCGCTGTTTACCTATGCTAGATCTGAGATGGCTGATCCAACTGTTTCAGCGTTTAACGTTACGGACCAACGCCAGTTGCGGACTTGAGGTCGTGATCTCTTGGGCTGATTGCGGCGGAAATTCGGCAGCATTTGGTCACCACATGATGGGAGTTGGGTTAGGGTTTTAAGCATATTTGTAAATGTACATTGATTAATGAGTCTAGAGACTAGACTTTGGGCCACARTTTATTAACTAGTGTTTCCTTGTTGCAAATTTTTGACATCTCTTTTCCATTTACGAGTATATYTTGGTTTTCCGATTTGCGTTGCATTGGCTTCCATATGGTTTTATGCAGTTGTCAAGTCAAAYAGTTAGTCAGTCAACGTACCCCAGTCAGATAACGCATGGGTATGGGAGCCTAGCTAGTTCCAAGTTGGCTTTTCTCGAGCGGTCGGCCTAACTGTCTTCAAGAGAATTGAGTCTCGTTTGTCATCTCATAGCTGCAATATACATATATACATGCGCCTTTTGGCAGTGCGTCGCCACACCTGACTTTCGGTATCGCAGTTCGCCAACTCTTCGTCGTGTACGTGGCAACCCATTAGACCGTGCTCCCATATTCGCGCTCCATCTCCGGCCTCCTGTCAGCCCGGTTCCTTTGTCCTTTGTTGGTGTATGGTACTGAGCTTCTGACACACTTTTAAAATTGCTATGTAGTCATATTTCGGAGAAATAATTTTTAAATTTTATAGCTTTATTTCGCAACGTATTTGCTCCTTGGATTAGTTGCTTTTTAATGTTCTCGTGACTCATGACCCAAATTATGCCCTTAATTCTAGCCGGCAAGCCTCCATTCTGTTGGGCTGAAAATCTCCAYAGTTTATGCTGATATTTATAAGTATTAACTGCCGTTTCAAGTGAAAGTAGCCACTGTGGCATGTCTTCCCAGTACAACAGACTCACTGCCATAATGCCAGGAAAAATGCWTGCCGCTTTACTCCTCTTTTTCTTTTATTAGTTACTCGCGTATTCACCCATCCATCCATTCGTCGCTGCTATTATTCCTATGGACGGCGAATGCGTTCGCTCGCCTTCCTCTAAAAATGCAACGATTAGTATGTATGTATGCATGCCGCGCCATAAATTGGCATCCAATTGCCATAAATGCCCCGCAATTCACTACCAATCAGTTGCCCTGCCACCCCGCTGCCTAAACTCCACATTGGCCAGCCAGCTAAGCTGTTGCGACAGACAGCATTGACGGTTGTGCTGGCTGGTGCGTTCCACATGTTGCAGTGCTTGTGGTTCAATGACTTGTGCGCTTCTAACTAAGAAAGCTGATTGCCTAACAAACTAACAGGCTCAACTGTGTCGGCTGATGGCGGCCAGTGGTGGGATGGCATAGTCCGGCTACTGGCTGTATAGCGCATTCATATCATCGTGTGCGTGTGTGACTGTGGCATATTTGCTTTGATTTTCACTTTATYTGCTTTGTTTTTTGTTTTTTATTTGGTATTTTTGTTCGCATGCCTACTTGTTGCGCTGTTTGACTAGTACACCTACATACTTACACGCATATATACATACACATATATATGTACATGTGTGG